TCCTCAGGGGGCCCTGCCTGCAGGCGGAGCAGACTCCACCAGGCCCTCCGCTGTAGGCCCGGAGAGGGCCTCATGGCCGGAAGATGCTGCCAGGAGGGCCTGGGAGCAGGGCGCCTCCGGGAGCATCCAAAACTCAGGGCTGAGAGGAACCCAGTGTCGCTGAGAGGAGGAGAGTCCCCAGAGGAGAACCGTGGTGTGGAGGCTTCGTGGACTTAAGCAGACTTGAGCCAGGATTCATTTAGTTTTTAATTCATTAAATGTTTTTAACTCTTTTATGTGGAGTACACACATTCAGACAAATGCACAAAACATAAATGTCTTCGCTGCAGTGATTTATCACAAAGTGAACATACGTGTGTCAGCCCCGCGTGTCCCACAGGTCAAGAGGTGCAGCACTGCTAACACCTCAAAACCTCCCCCCACACCTCCCAGCCACGCCCCCCAGCTCCCCGCATAGACCTCCCACCCTGACTTCTAATTCTAGTGCTTCAGTTTGCCTGGGTTTTTTTGTTTTGGTTTGTTTTTTATTCATTTAGGGCGCCTGGGTGGCTCAGTCGTGAAGCGGCTGCCTTCGGCTCAGGTCATGATCTCAGGGTCCTGGGATCGAGCCCCACAACAGGATCCCTGCTCAGTGGGAAGCCTGCTTCTCCCTCCCCCTCCCGCCTGCTTGTGTTCCCTCTCTCACTGTCTCTCTCTCTGTCAAATAAATAAATAAATTCTTTTATTCATTTATTTGAGAGAGAGAGTGTGTGCGTGTGCAAGAGAGAGCGGGACGGGGGGAGGGGCAAAGGGAGAGGAAGAAGCAGACTTCTGGAGGAGCAGGGATCCAACATGGGGGGGACCTCGATTTGAGCCAAATCTCTATGGAATCATAGGGTAGGTACTTCGTGTCCGACTTCTTTTGCTTGAGATTATGTGTGAGAGCTTCCTCCCTGTGGTTTCATGTCTTTGGTGCTCATTTATTTTTACCGCTGTTTATATTCCATTGTATGTCTCCGTTTGACTGTGATGGACATTTGTGTGATTTCCACTTGGGATTAATACAAATAATGCTGCGAGGAATGTTCTCACCCCTGCTTCCTGATGCGTGGATGCATGCATTTGTGCTGGGTATAATACACCCAGGTGTATAATTGCAGGATCGTAGGCTATGCCTACATTCAACCTGAATAGTATCCTGTAAGCAGGGGGTTCTCCAAAGTGGTGGTGGTTCTTCAGGTCCCCCAAGAGTGAAGAAGTGTTCCACGTGTTCCACACCCTCACCCACATTTGACACGGTGGGATTGTTTTGTTCTGTTTTTGTCATTCTAGTGGGCGTATAGTAATATCTCGTTGTGGTTTTAAATGACTAAAGAGGGGGGGCACCAGTTCACATGCTTATTGACTTATTCTGTCAAGTGCCAGTTCAATCTTTTGTCATTATTCCCTTGAGTGGTCTGTCTTTTTCTTACTTATTTGTAAGAGTTATTTTTATATCTGAATATGAGCCAACGGTCTGTCGTGCATGTTGCAAATATCTCCTACTGGTCTTGCCCACTCACTCCCTTAATAATGTCTTTTCATGAATAGAGGTTCTTAACTTAAATGGACCAAATTTATCAATCCTTTCCATTCTGACTTGTGCTTTTTTGTGTCCTGTTGTTCAAAAGCTTTTCCTCCCTGAAGTTCTTAATGATACTCTTATCCTTGTCTTTTAGAATCCTTACTGTTTCACGTTTTATACTTAGATCTCCATCTTCCTGGAATTTATTGTTGTTTATGATATGTGATGGCAGCCAAGTTTCCCCTTTCCTATATAGATATCAAACTGACACAGTATCATCTACTACAATCACGGTCTTATCCCTGCAGTCCTTGAATACCACCCTTGTCATGAGTTAAGAGTCCATATACATGTGGGTCTGCTTCAAGACTCTCTATCCTACCTCTTTGACCTACGTATCAATCTTTGCACTGATATTACCCTGTCTTAATTACTGTTACTTTATCGTAAGTCTTGATAGCTGATAAAGTAAGTCTTCCCAATTGTTCCTCTTCAAAAATAATTTTAGTTATATTGCCCTTTTTATTTCTCACCTATTATAGAATCAGCTTGTCTATTTCTACACACACACACACACACACACAAGTTATGATTTTGATCAGAAGTGCATTAAATCTATACATCAATTTTGGAAAGAACTAATTCTTCAAATATTACATCTTTCAATCCATGAACATGGTGTGACCCCCATTGTGTTTAGATTAAAATTATTTTAAATTAGATGAATAATATATGGATATATTCTTACTAGAAATATAAAATGAGGGACACCTGGGTGGCTTAGTTGGTTAAGTGCCTGACTCTTGGTTTCGGCTCAGGTTACGATCTCAGAGTCTTGAAATCAAGTCCCATGTTGGACTCCACACTGGGCGTGAAGCCTGCTTAAGATTCTCTCTCTCCTTCTCCCTCTGCCTCCCCCGTCCACCCCCCCCCCAAATTCACACACTCTCTCCCTCTCTCTCTCAAATATATATATTTTTATATATTATATTAAAAATATATATGATTAGAAAGGAAGTAGGTATTCCTTTCCCCTCCCAAACAGAGCAGCAACCTCTGTTCTTATACACCTGTATGCATACCCACACGCACATGCACACACACACACACATTTTGGATGGGATCATAGCAATTTGCCACATGCTTTTTTTAATTTAACAATATTGTGCCGACATCTCTCTGTGTCAGAACAAGCTAGCAAGGTCACTCTCTGTGAGTACTCCATGCGGCCCCGGCAGAAGTCTGTGGACTGAACTCACTGAGCATCCTGGAACACTATTCTTGCATGTGTGTGTGTGTTCCTCTAGGAGATTTAATCCTACAAGCAAAGAAACCCATTTGGATACTGCTTTAATTATTCAGAGACGACATAATGAAAGCCAAAACGGGGCCGGGGAAGGAGAAGAGGGACAAATTTCCTTTTCCAAAATAACACGTGCTTCCTCTTGACAGTCTCCTGGGCCTCCCAAACCTGTGTCAGTCTCTGGGCTGCCATAGATGGAAGATGCAGGGCCCAGCAGAGGGGTGGGCACTGTCTGTCATGCGTGTTGGGCAACAAGGACGAGGAGGAAGGGGTCTGACCTGATGATTAAAGCAGCCGCTGAGCAGAAATGGGGCAGGATGAGAATGGGATGAGAATCCAGGGCCTACCTGTCCTGGGCAAGGCCTGAGCCAGCTGCCGCATGCGCTGACTCTGAGTTCCGCAGCAACCCCGTGCTTAGCCTGTCAGAGGGATCTGAGGTTCAGAAAGCTGGAGGGGCCTGTCTAGGCTCAGTGAGTCAGTGGCCACACTGGGCGTCTGACCAAAGCCTGACCGCAAGGCCCTGTGTGTGTGTGCAGTCTCTAGGCCGAGTCTCTTAGTTAATGATGCTGCCCAAGGACACCAGATGGGCCGATCTAGAGGCGCCAGGACCTGGAACTCAACTGGGACAGGTGCTGGGGAGATGGATCCTGCCCTGGCACCAGTTAGAGGGAGTCCGGCCAGAAGGCTAGACAGTGGCAGGTGACAAGTGGTGTCTGATGAGTCCCCGCTGTCTGGGAACCCTTCTCCAAGGAGCCAGTGGCCCACATGCAGCAGGTTGGAGGCAGTGGCCAGGAGGCAGGCCACAGCCGCAGTCAGCAGGGGGCCCAGGAGGGAGTTGGGGGCCGAGCTCTGCTTCCTGGAAACTTGGGGGCCTGGCTTGGCTGAGGAGCCCCCACTCCCACATGCGAAGCCTCCGCAGCTTCAGGAGGGCCACCGGCTTCCAGGGCTTAGCAAACTCTGCCCGCCTCACTTCCCCCCCTTCCACCTCCTCCCCCTCTATCGACCTTCCTGGCCTCACATTTTGGGTGCTTCTTTTATATTTATATTTAAGAAATTCCCTTTTAAAAACTTTTTTATAAATAACAGTAGGGAATTTTTATTACAAAGCAAAGGCCATTAATGTAGCCCATCCATCTCCTATGCATACATGAAGGCAGACGTTAATTTTTTTCCCAAACTGAGACTACACCAATCATCCTTTTCAGGAAGCTGCTCCTAGCACTTCTCAGCATACTGTGCAGTTTCCCCGGATGGGGGCATCTGGCAGGATTGCAAAGCACTTAAGAACACAGACTCGAGGACTAGCAGGCCTGAGTCTCAGACCTCTCTCTGCCACTCATTAGTTTTGTGACTGAGCCAGTTACACGCCTCTCTGGACCTTGGTTTTCCCGTCAGTGCAATGAGGATGATGACAGGCTGGATGTGAGGCTCGGTGTGGGGACTAAGTGAGGGAGGGCCTAACCCAGAGCACACTCGGTGCTCAGTGAGCACCAGATATTAGGACTATTGTTACTCCTAATCAAAGACAGAGCCCGGCAGCCTGGCCCCACCTCATACCCTAGATCTGGTAGATCCTGGCCCCACCTCATACCCTAGATCCTGTAGATCCCAGTCCTGACCTCGAGTCTTTATCTGGGTCTCCTGGGCCTACCAGATGTCTCTTCCTGCCCCCCGGGGTGGTCAGGGTAGCTGGGGCCTGGGCTCAGCTCCCAAGTAGCATTCACTGGGAGTTCTGAAGGTTCTTCTCCGGGTTCTCAGTGACATGAGGAAGGATAGGGATTAGAAAAGGGGAGAAGGAGAAGGCAGAGAAGTGGCTCGGAGTTAACCAGACCCTGGAAACCTGGCCCCGGGGCCTTTCGAGTCTCTGCTACTCATGAGCTCCCTCACCAGGGGTGCGAGCCCCAGGTCCCTCCTCGTTGGCATCACAAGAAGACACATGGCCTCTGGGAGAGATCATTGGCATGACTGCTCTCCCATGGCCAGGAGAAGTGGAGGTCGAGTCATTACCACCCCCTTAAGGAGTTGCTAAGACTCAAGGGCACAGCTTGGGGTTCACTCTGCTCATTGGCCCGCTGAATTCCAAGTGGGGGTGCAGATGTGGGGTGGAGGTCCCAGTGGGACTGGGGACCTGGTTCTGAGCTCTGGGACCCACAGGAGATGAACAACTACCGGCGGGCCATGCAGAAGATGGCAGAGGACATCCTGTCGCTGCAGAAACACACCAGCATGCTGGAGGCCGAGAACCGCATGCTGAGGAGCCAGCTGACCCAGGAGGAGGGGGAAGAGGAGCAGGACAACGCCAACAAAGCTCAGAAGCTGGATGAGGGTATACGGGCCATTGAGAGCATCCGGGTGCCTGCCCGAGCCCAGGCTCTGGATTGCAGACCAGGGTGGTGGGGAGATTTTCCCAGCTGTGCCTGCTCCTGGACACTGGTGGGGTCCTCTCCGGGATGGGGAATGGAGACTCCAGTCCTGTCTCGATCCCCAGGACTGAGAGACACTTGTCCCTGCCCCCCCAGCTCTGCTGAGCTGGGAGATGCCTCTTCCCTGAGACAGCTCCTCCACCCCACCAGTGTCCATGAAGCAGAAACTGCTGCTGAGTGAGCTGGACCTGAAGAAACTGAGGGACAAGGTGCAGCATTTGCAGAATGAGCTGATTCGGGTGAGCTGGGGCTGGGGGGGTGGGGGGCAGAGGGCAGAGGGAGCAGAGAGGAAGGGAGCTGGGGGGTGTTCAGAGCAGCGTCTGGGAGCAGAAGGGAGAGAGGCGTGGAGGGAAGGGGACACTGCAGTGGGAGGCTCAGCAGAGGGGCCAAGGGTAACCCCGGGCACCCCTTCTTTCCCCGCCCCCTTCCCTCCCCCACCATCAGAAGAATGATCGAGAGAAGGAGCTGCTCCTCCTGCACCAGGCTCAGCAGCCACAGGCAGCGCTGCTGAAGCGGTACCAGGACAAGCTGCAGAAGATGAAGGCGCTGGAGGAGACCGTGCGGCACCAGGAGAAGGCAGGTGCCACAGGGACCAGCCCGCCAGGCGCCAGCCCGGGGCGGGGAGGTGCGCCATCCCCCCGCGGCCAGCCCAGCCTTTGTGCTCTGCCCTCCAGGTAATCGAGAAGATGGAGCGGGTGCTGGAGGACAAGTTGCGGGACAGGAAGGAGCCCCTGCTCAACAGGCTGCAGGGAAAGCCCACCATGGGTGAGTCTGCTCCGCAGCTTTTGTCCCATCCCTGGGGGCCCGGCCTTCCTGGAGCATCGGCTTCAGGAGCAGAGCTGGGGCAAAGGATGCTACCCCCTACTGAGGCAGGCAGTGAGGGGCTCCCAAAGGTCCCCTGGGCTCCCTTCTCCTGCCAAGAAGCCCCTCGGGATACATGGGGACAGTGTGTGAACCAGGCTAGAAAGACAGCAGACCCTGCTCAGAGCCACAGAGAGGCCCCGCAGACTGGAGTGAGCAGGCAGGGGCTGCCCGGGCCCTTCTGGAACTTCCTCGTCTCCCCATTGTCTTCAGAATCCGCTTCTACAAAACAAACAGCACTTGTCTGTTTCCTCCACTGACGTTATCAGAGCCACCTAGAAGGGCCAGTCTGAGGGGGCTCTGGGGGAAGGGGGGAAGAACCAGGTCCCGCCATCCCAGGCCGGCCCCGGGCAGAGGATTTCCCTGAGCCATGTGCCCAGCCCTGTGGCAGCCTTCACTGCAAGGGTGTGTGTGTGGGGGGGGGGGGGGGGGTGCATTTCGGAAGGCCTTTGGAAAACTGTGCAAGCTGGGGCTGCCTTTCAGGAACCCCAGGGTCATCCCAGAGTGGGATGAGAGAGGGGAAGGCAGCCTAGGGAGGGCAAAGGCCCAGGGAGTGACAATGGCAGGAGCAGAGAAGGGAGGAGAGGGAGAGGTGAAGAGCTAAAATGACCCAGGACCAAAGGCCGGGGAGTGGTTATGGAGAACACGGGGTCAGATTCTAAAGAGCCTGGGATGGGGTGAGGCTGTGGCTCTGATTCCCCTGGCAGCAGGGGGCCATTGAAGGCTTGGGAGCAGAGGAGGGGCAGAATGGAGCAAAATGCTGGGGCAGATCAGGCTGGGGGCAGGCGGGCAGGAAAGCCTGTCTCACGAAGAGCTGTGGCCACGTCTGCAGCCTTCCCCATGCTCTCCGCCTCTGGCCGTCCCCCGGGGCCGACGGAAGAGAACCTGCCTGTGGACCTGTACTCAGTCCTGCTGGCGGAAAACTCCAGGCTGCGGGCAGAGCTGGAGAAGAACCGCCACCAGTCAGCGCCCATTATCCTGCAGCAGCAGGCGCTGCCGGTAAGAGCCGCCCCCACACGGGGCCTGGGCCTGCCTGAGCCAGCCGCTGGGCGCTCAGCAACTGTGCCCAGCCCAATCCAAGCTGAAGACCACGATCCCGAGCTAGGCTTCCCAGGGTCCCCGATGTGCCTGGAGACTCCTGGAGTGCCAACTCTCAGGCCCGCCTCTTTCCTCCTGGGGGACACACATGGGCCTGAAAGCTCCACCTTTGCCCTCCTCTTGCAGCCTGGGAGAAAGCAAGCCCCTAATGGCCCTTGACCTTTGATCCCTGACCCCTTTCTGCCACCTGGCTGGCCTGCACTTGGACTCCACACAGCCTCTCTGAGCTCCATCCTGGAACATTTCCTGGGACTGGTACAGCCTTGGAGAGAGAGCCCTTTTCCCCCATCCCAGGTGGACCCCAGGGAGTTGGGAGCAGGAGGAGACCTGGCAGAGAGACTGCAAGAGACAGATGGCCCAGGCCACTCCAAGGGCACAGAGGCCCTGCCCGCACAGGTGGGTGCCCCTGGCCCCGGAAATGCCTCGGCCCCGCTCCATCTCCAAGGCTGCTGCAGGCGCCCCTGCTTTACGCAAACCCAAAGACAAGACATTTGGAATTACAGAAGAGGGGTGGGCAGGGGACCCAGGAGGGTTTTTCTCTTCATCCCAGGACTTATAGGAGATGAATTCTGTTTGAACGCTCCCCTGGTGCATGGACATTGGGTAAAGTGCGGGCACAGGGGAGCCCTCACTTTACCAAAAGACTCCCTGTTCAAGAGTCCTTTCTGTGAGCTAATCTGCCTGGTACATTTTACATTTAGAAAGTGACGTGCAGAAACTCCATATAACCAAATCTGTGGGGAGAAAGGTGGTGAAAAAAGCACCTGCCATCTCAGGTCAACCTCGGGAAAGAGGGTTTGGCCCTGGGTCTGAGGCTCTGCGTTGGGGAGCTGAGCTGGGAACTCAGACCTGGCTGGTTTCGGCCTCAGTAGCTCACGGCCTCCTGAGCCCACACGGCTGCAGTCCCTAGTGGGAGCCAGCTGTGAGCTTCTGCTTTGCCCACAGGATCTCCTTGCCAGTACCTCAGACAAGTTCAACCTTCTGGCCAAGCTAGAACGAGCTCAGAGCCGGATCCTATCCCTGGAAAGCCAGGTAGGTGAGCCAGGCTGGCGTCAGTCATCCTGGGCAGGCTCACCGCTCAACAACCCTTGACCAGAGTCAGGCTCCAAGTGTGACCAGGGTTGTGGCTCAGTGTGTGCCCAAGGTCAGGGCTCAATATGTTGTTGGAACTCAAGGAGGGTCCATCTGTGCCTTAATCGGACTGTCATTTGGCCCCTCCCCACCCACCCCTGGCATGCCCGATGTCTCCAGAAGGTAGTAGGCCCACGTTGCCCGGGCTCTGGTTGTCCTGCTTGCAGGGATGGGCCCTGCTGCCCAGCAGGTCCCTATCTGTCCCTCTCTGTGTCTGCAGTTAGAGGACTCGGCCCGACTCTGGGGACGCGAGAAGCAGGACTTGGCCACACGGCTGCAGGAGCAAGAGTACGGCTTGGGGCACCCCTCAAACTCCGTCATCACTGGCCTGCCCGTGAGTGATCTCTCTGGAGAAGCTCCGTGGGGTGCAGGCAGTGCGGCTGGCAGCCGCTATCCCCAACCCCGAGTCTCTGGGCCCTGAGAAGAACTGTCCAGAAGACCTGCGCTCAGCTTCTGCCCTGTTACCATCAGGAGCCCTGGCCTGGTCTCCATGCCCCACCTGCCCAAGGGGAATAGAAAGCCCCCCGAGACTACCCTTTCCCACGGGTGGTGGTGAGAATCAAGAGGACATGGCTGTGGATGAAGGGTCGCCCCTGCAGGCATTTCTGGAATGCTCTGGTCCTGGCTGTACTTTAGCACTGGGTTTGCTCCTGCGCAGAGTAGCTGTGGCTCCCACCCAAGTCCAGAGCCCCTAAGGCTCTCCCGTGAGCGCACCCTCTTGGCCCCTTCAATGCTGCCCACCTTCCGGTGATGGGGGCACGGTGCCAGAGAGAAAGGCTGCTGGCTTCGTCCACACAAACAGGCCTGTTCACAGCTGCCCCTCAAGCTCGGCCCCAGGCTAAACAGGTTTGGAATCCTTTGTGAAGGCATGGCCCACTGTATTTGGATCCTCTGAGGCCTGGCTTGCCAGGCAAGATGCACTCTGATGGGTCCCCTCACCAGGGCAGGGGCGTACTCACCTCCCTTTGCTTTGCATACCACAGAACTCCTTGGCCCATGCCAAGGACCACAGGCGACCCTCGAAGCTGGACCCTCTGATGCCCAGCTCGGAGACTAAGCTCAACAAGCCCTCAAACTCCGAAAAGACCTGAGTCTTAGCAGACCTGAGTAGCTGGAGCAGGCCTCCCTCTCTGTGTGCTGGGGAGTCTCATTCCACCCCCCAGATGACTGTATTAAATGCCATAAGGTCAGTGAGCATTCACCTCTTTCCTGGAGTAGGGCAGCCAAGGGGACCCAGCTTCCTCCTGCCAGACCCCACTCTGAACCCAGGCCCTCCACTGCAGCGCTATAAGTCTCCTGAGGCCTATCCCAGAAACTACCATTTTGGGACAGCCAGAGGTCATAGTGAACCCAGGAGGGTGGGGAAGAGGCCTTCCAAAGCAGGAACCCTTCCAGACCTCCAGAAGAAATGAGATGACCAGAGGCCAGCTCTGTTGGAAAATGTGAGGGAGGCTGGGACTTTCCACTTGCCCCCAGACATCTCATATCTGAAATCCCTTCTTCCAAGTTTGGTTTATCTGTTTCTCAGGAAGGGAAAGACTTAAAGCCTGCCTGTGGCAATCAATGACATATTAGTGTGAAATACCCCCATTTACCGGGCTAGGCTGAGCTGGCAATGTTGTGTCCAAATACAGCCAGGGACAGGAAAGCAGATGGGACCCGGGGAAGGAGCCCTCGGCTGAGAATCAGGAGGCCTGAATTCTAGCTGCAAGCATGCTGTGTGACCTTGAGTGACTCTAGCAACCTCTCTGGGCTTCCATTTCCCCATCTATCCCATGCAGAGCTTACCTTCTCTGATGGTAAGCCCCTTTCCAGCTCTAACATTTCTGAGTCAAAGACAACTTGGCCCCAGAGAAGAGAAAGGAAGCGGTAAGGAGAGGGAAAGCCAACATGAAAGAGGATTGTATGGTAGGGAAAGCAGAAAGGCTCCAAGAGTGGACTCAGGGCCTACAGATGCTGGTAGAAGAGACCAAGGCTGCAGGGCCACTGTCCTGAGCAGGATTAGCTCCCCTGTCTGCCTGCAGGACTTAGACCTGACTAGCAGAGGGCCAGAAAGGATCAGGCACCCGGTCAGATCAGGAATTATGGACTCAGAAGGGGTTAAGAGGGCTGAAATTGGGACCAGTGTCCGACAGTCCAAATAATGTACCAGACGCAGCCATAGTCTTCTTGCCTAGAGCTTGGGCAAGTGGACACATCTCCCTAGAACAGGAAGCTGAGGCCTGGGGAAACCCAGAGAAAGGTCAGGTGGGGTAAAGAAAGCACGCTGGCCTCTTATTCTCTAGGTCAGTCACCTCACACCAGACCCTCACTCACAGGCTTCGGCCCTAGCTTCCCCCAAATCTCTCACTGGGCCTTGGCAGGAAGTCCTCAAGACCCCACAGGGAACTCCCACCCAAGGTTCAGCCAATCAGAGCCTGGCAAGAGCCTCACTCCTGCGGCAGCAAGGAGGGCGACCCTACTGCCCCTGAGCTGCTATAGGTGTGTGTGTTGGGGGGGGGGGGTCCCAGCAGAGAGAGCTTCAAGCGCAGCTGCCTCAGGTCCCCCATTCATGCTCAGATCCCACTGTTGACCCAGGCCACAGAGCATCTCCACAGGAGTGATGGCTACCTTGGGGGTCAGATAGAAATGAAAACACTTCACGTAGTTCAGCCATTTATTGCCTTCCTGGGGCAGGCGGAGAGGGGGAAGAGGTGGCGGGAAAGAGGGGTGCCCTGGCTGAGCTGGGGCAGCTGACCATGGAGCACCAACTCTCTCTTCTCAGAGCTGGTCCAAAAGGAGCAGGGGAGGGGGACCGAGGGCTGACGAGCAGACACCACCAGGGGTGCCACCCCCTCGGGCCTCCCTCCAGCACCCCTGCTGGCTTGATGGGTGGCAGAAGCGATGCGCACCCTCTCTAATCACACCTGGGGTGGGTCCTGGTTGAAGGGCCTGAAGGTGAAGAAGATGGGCTTGTCGGGCATCAGGATGAGGTTGAATGTGGTGCCCACATCACTGAGATGTTGCATTTCAACTCTGAAGTTCTCCAGAATCTGAGAAAGAGGTGGTGGGCTTAGGGGAGAGATGGGGAGGGGCTGTCTCCCCCGGGGCCAGGCTCATTCACCTGTAGGTGTTGCCTGTTTTGCCTGACTCAGGGAGTTCTAAGGGCTCAACAGCCAGCTCCTATGTACCCGGCACAGTGCGTGAAAATACACCCCTAGTGCTTTGTCCCCTTGATTCACCTTAGCTTCTACAAAACCTCGTCCCACCCCACACCCATCCTGTCACCACTTGGAGGGAACAGATGGCCAGGGGACACCAATGGTAATAAGCAAATTAGCCCAAAAGAGGAGACGGCAGATTAGCCCAAAATTGTGGGGGAGGAGGAGGGCAAGTCATGGGAGACAGATGTCCCCAGCCTTGTACTCCCTGGGCTCTGGACAGAAGTGGGTGTAGGAGGGTCAGTGCCTTCATTCGGTCCACGGCCAGCTCAGGCTGTCCTGATGTCCCCGGCTGGACTCACGTGGATGAGGAAGAGGGTCATCTCGAGCTCAGCGATCCGCCGGCCCACACACTGCCGCACACCCCAGCCAAAGCCCAGGTTCCGGAAGTGGATGAGGTCCTTATCTTTACCCAGCCATCGGGTTGGGTCAAACTTGCCCGGATTGAAGAAGAAGGTGGGGTCCTGGCCCATGGCATAGGTGGACACCTGCACCAATGTCTGGGGACAAGGTGGGCAGAGGCCTGAGTATAGGCCTCATCTACTCACAGCCTGGAGCATGACTCAGCTCCCAGCTCCCACCCCCAGCCAGGCTGTCCCGCCTCCCGGCACAGGACGCTCCCTGCCGCACGACGTTGAAAAAGGCCCCAGCCCTCCCTGAGCCTCGCCCATCATGTGGACATGACCGAGGACTCAAGGCCGGGGATGGCCCCCGGGATTGTCTGCCTTTTGCTCAGCCCCAGGGAGCTCCTGAGACCCAGGCAGCCCATGGGGCCTCCCTCCTAACCTTGGACTCGGGCAACCTTCCAGAGATCATCACCCACTACGTCCAGTACCCCTGCCCTTCGTTCACACTTGGACTGCGCTGTCAAGGACCACACCAGCCAGCTCCAGGAAGAAAGAGGGGACAGAAACCCCCATTGCCCCCGTCTGTGTGCAACTACAGTCCGCCCCCAGCCTCCTGTCTGACTGGCAGAGCTGGCAGCGCCCCCCCCCCCCCCCACGCTGCACCTACCTTGGCAGGAATCATGTAATTCCGAAGAATCAAGTCATTTACAAGGTATCTCTGCAGGGTCACGGAGATGGGGTGGAGTCTGCCAGAGGAAGGCATTCAGGAGCTGAAGCCCTGAGGCCTGGACGCCTCGCATGGTGGCTCAGCCCCAGCTACTGCATCCCGGGGGGATTCTGGAGACAGAACCCGAACTCTTATTTCCTCCCTCCCCATTCCCAGCTGTCTGCCTGGACTTCTCGCTTCCCGCTACCAAGCCCCTCCCTCGTGCCCTGCCCAGGGATCTGGGGGATGAGGCAGGCAGGCCGGGAGGGTCGGGCTTGCCTCAGTGTCTCCTTGATGCTAGCTTTGAGGAGCGGGACCAGCTGCAGCATCGTGCTCAGGTTTCCCTGGGCCTGGCGCCGGGCCGCCAGGACCTCCTCCCGCAGCATCTCCTGCACCCTCAGGCTGCGTGCCATCTCGTAGAGGTGCCACTGCAGAGTCATGGACGTCTGGCAGGGAGTGGGGGGGGGCAGCAGAAGACAAGGAGGACCTATCACTCCTGAGGCCTCTAAACCCAGGCTAAATTTTCATTTCCAAGAATCTCTGCCCACCCTCATCCCTGTATCCAGAGACCACCATTCGCAAAAGCAAAACACAGTTCTAAAGGCAAGGGTCCAAAAAAGCCTTCCTCACCCCCCAGGGCAGGCATGTCTGGGGCAGCACTTGTCCCTGTCCTCGTCCCTGATGTCACCAGAGCCCATCTGTTTCCCCAGCTGGGAGAGTCACCCATACAGCCAATGCCTTCTTCCAGAAGACCCAGAGGGCTTTGGAAGCCAAACCCTACTTCTGTAACGGTGGTACTCCCAAATGACTGCCATTCCATCCCTCTCCCGCTAGCCCTTCCCCAAACCTCAGCATTTGCCTGTGAGAGCATAAAATAAAGTGAGGCCCAAAGATACTGAAACCAGAACAGCCAGACCTGTTTCCCAACAGTGTCGTAATTAGAGTGTGCATATCCCGAGATGAACCAGGTCATCTCGCTATTAGCCAGAGGCAGTGACCATGCTGGAGGTATGAGGGTCACTCATCAAGCCCCACAGCCCCAGATTCTTCAGTGGTGGGACCCCAGGCTGAAGCCGCCCTCCTTCCTATGGCCAGGACATGTCATCTTACCAGGGATCATTTTTTTGTCCAAGAGGTTTGGACACTCTCCTTCTTCCTCCCAGCAGGAGCACTCGGGAAAAAATGCCATGTAGTCACCTCTCAGCTTAAAACCCTTACCTGGCCCCAGAAGCTCATGCCTGACCCACAGGGCCCCCCAACACCCGCCTACCATTCTCAGCCCCACTGCTACCTCTCTCCAACATGCACCTCAAGCTCTAGCTGCACCGAGCTACATGCAGCTCCTGAAGACCAGAAATCTTCCTCATGCTGTTTCCTCTTTCTAGAATCCCCCTCCCCAAACTAAGAAGCAAGGATGTACTCTTTCTTTAAGGCTCAGAGCACACCTGTGTGTTTGTCCTATTACCTCCAAGGCCTGACACAGAGTGAGTACTCAGGAGATATTTGTTTAATAAAGTAGTCAAATAAGTTCCGAGCTGTGTGACCTTGACTAAGTGACTTAACCTCTCTGTGTCCATTTCCTCACCTAAAATTGAGGGATAATAGTAGCATATCTCCCAGTGTTGTTTGTGAATACTCAATGAGTTAATACATGTGAAAAGCTTAGGCCCCTGCCTGCCATAAAGGACAGGCTTAATAAATGTCACCTAAGGATAGGTGATTTGGTGCAGGTCAGTGGTTTGGGAGATGTCTTCTACATAACTGACAATGTTTAAAATATGCTCAAAGGCTCGTCTGCAGCCTGTCCCATAGACCAACCCTCCCCTATTAGAGCACAGCATAAAGATGACACCTAGGAAAGAACGTTATTAACATGGGGGCTTTGACACCCACTTCTTCCTGGTCCCGAAACTCTCCAGCTCCTCTCTCCTCCCAGCAACAGCCTTCAAGACACAAGCTGAATTTCAGTTCCTGTATGGCGCACTCTCCCTGTCCTACAAGGCCATGTTCTCTCTCCCCTCTTCTCAGCGCCCTCAGTCCCCGGCCCGTGCCTGGCCGTCCAGTGCTACACCATCATGCGCTGGTCATCTGTGCGCATGCTGCCTCCTTGTCACGGGATGAGTCGTGTCCCCACCAAGCTCACATGTTGAAGTCCTACCCGCCCCAGGACCTCACAATGTGACTGTATCGGGAGATAGGGCCCGTTACAGAGCGAAGTAAGGTAAAATGAGGTCCTATGGGGGAGCCCTAATGAATGGGACTGGTATGCATATAAGAAGGAGAGATTTGGACACAGACTGTGTGAAGACACAGGGAGAAGACAGCCATCCACAGGCCATGGAGAGGCCTCAGAAGAAACCCACCCAGCCACCTGGATCTTGGCTTCCAGCTCCAGAACTTCAAGAGAATAAACTTCTGCTTTTTAAGCCACTTGGTGTGTGGTACTTTGTTATGACAGCCCCAGAACACTAATATGCCCTTCCTCTCTGAGCCATTTGGGACATTTGAGGTCTCTCATATTCATCTTTATAGTCTCGGTGCCTCAATCCCAACTAATAATCAATAAACTAAATAATTAACCCTCGCTCTCACAGCAACATGATATTGGGAAAAGGGAGGTACACAGGCCAGAGACATTTTGACATTCCAGAAGTTTCTGGGGTACTGTCCTGCCTGGGGAGAGGACCTGAGGGAGGCACCACAGAGCATGCCTTCAGGATTGGGGGTGCCTTGGGGGACTGAGTCTGGAAGGGGGAGGATGGGAGACAGCAACAAGACCCCGGGGCAAATTCCACTGGCTCCCAGCTCTTCGGGGGGCCTGCCTGCCTTCCTGAATCCAGTGTGCTGTGCTCTCCACCTGTGATTGGAGGGCTTCTCCCTTACAAACCCCACGCACAAGCCTGCCCCTACACCTAGTCGCTCCCTTCTCACGGGCAAAGGAAAAATGGTGGATCGGCCTCAAGGCATGGTCCATGGGGGCCGGATATGACCTCACCCTTCTAGGAGATCAGTATTTATGAAATGCAACCAGGAAAGGGAGACCCACCCCACGTGGGTAGGGTTTCAGGCGACAGGGTGGAGTGGCAGGGAAGGGGCACGGGGCCCAGGAAGGGACAGGACGTGCTGAGGGCCCCTCACCGTGTCCACACCCCCGGCCAACATCTCCGTAATATTGGCCTTGACATCCTCAAAGAGCAGCTTGTTATTTTTTAGGAGGCTGTGGAGGATGCCCGGGTAATTGTTGACGTCTCTCTTCTGCCTCAGGTCCCAGTAGAAGTTCTGGGTGTAGATCTCGGCTGTGCAGGAGGGGAAAAGAAGTGAGCTCTCTGCAGGTGGGAGGGAAGGTGAGAGGCGGTACCAAGGGCTGGGGGTTCAGGAGTCCAGCTTTCTAGCGGCCCCTTTACTGAGC